GGTGGGATTTGTACCTTTCCATGGATTAACACTCCCTCTGATAACAGGAATTCCAACTAGATTTTTTAACTAGTGAAGATTTGCTTCTAAGGGGTGTAGGCTTATTCTTTCAGACAATGTAAATATCATTATGGGTTTTTCTTCTTCAAGAGCCATGAATATGTTGGAATCCTCCTAAGAAGAATTTTAATTTTCACCTGAGCTTGTTTCAGTTGATGGTTTCATGATGCATTGGCATCATTTCTATAGCATAATACTTGCTCGGGCTTAAACACCCAAGCAGACAAATCCAACCCTGTTATATTATTTCAAGTTTTCAACATGTTTTACCTGTGGATCTTTTGCTGGATGATGAATATTCAAGGTTCCCAGCAACTGTAGCACCTCTGTGTTTTGCCCATGAATATAAAAATTAATAAAATTAGGACTTTTGTGGTATTTTAGTTACTTTTTAGGAATAGAAATTATGAGATAGTTTTCATCTTTGACTACTGTCCTACTCCTGCCCTCAGACTAGTGAGCAAGAGAAATTTCTGGCTTCCCACACCAAAGACACATAGATCTACCCAGAGTAACTGCACTGAATCTGTCCAAACTACAATCCATTTTGGCACAAGGGTTTAAGAATGACAATTCTGTTAGGATTTGCAGGATCCAATGGATGTACAAGGAAGTGCCATAACTTGGGTCATGAGAAGATCTGATGTGAAAATTATGCTGACCCCCAGCAGCAATGCCATCCCTGGGAGAGGATATCCGCCCTCCTGAGGCTGTGCAAGCCCCTGCTACGGAGCTGGATGTGGTAAAGAGCAAGAACAAGCAGTCATTGAAAAATTGGGTGAAATTGTGTCAGGGGATGAAAACATCACTTTGGTCAGTGGTTGCCCTAGTAACTTGGAAGAAAGGGAATAAAAGCAGAGCCGTCCTACTAAATGGCAAAATGGGCACTGAAACCATAGAAACCAGCTTGTTTTTCATCTCAATATGAAGAACATCAGCCCTACCCTTTTGTAATTTCCCGGCAACTTAAATGCTTTTTAGAATGTTCCCAGCTTTTGACTAAAACTGGTAAGGGTCCAGATGTCCTTTTCCCCAGATGGTATGAGGTATCGTAAGAGTTACCTATTTGTGCATTTATTTCATTGTGGTAATATATGATTTATGGGAATTGTACATGATTTAGGGGAAGAGATTCATGCCCCTTCAGATGCATGTCAACACAAACACACACACACACACACACACACCATGGAAATATCCATAGTCCTTTACCCTAGACCACTGGGCTCCTTCCTCCCTCCCTTTTATCCCGCCCCCAAGAATTATTTTTTAGTGCTCTGGAGAGAGCTACAAAATATTTCCTGACATACTCTGCAGTGTTTGCAATCTATAGTCCCACACATGAGGGGGTGCATCCTGACTGCTTTGTGGATTGTTGCTTCTGGTTGACGTTCTTTGAATTACAGAGTGGGTGCAACAGAGGCAAAATGATAATCTCCACATTTGTGGGTTCCAGTTCCTCAAGAATCCCACTGTCCACTCCAACCACTCAGGCTATTCCCTGTGCCTTGGAAATCCACATGAGCTACCGCTGGGAGCAGTCCTTGGGACAGTTCCGTAGAAGGTGACTTGGGAGAAGCTAAATGTTATATTCAAAAGCTGGAAGAGTCCTCACTGATTTTTATCACAGTTCAAGGAGACATTTCCTAAAAATACAGATGCAAATCTATGTGAAGGTCAGAATATATCATTTAAGACTCTCCATTTTTTTAAAGGATTTATTTTTATTTATGCATACAAGAACTGGGGTACAGGCCAGAGATGCAGGGGGGTGGAGAGGATTCACCAGAGACAGAGTGGGGAGAAGAACAGGTAGATCTACTGAAATACACTGCAGCAGGTGAGACAGGAGAGGTCTGCTGCGCCATATGTGGGTCAGCTCCTTGGCTGGACTCGAACTCCGGCAGCAGTGGCTGGCGATAGCTTGATAGTGCTGAGACTTTAACCCCTGTGCCACCAGGGAGACCCAAGACTCTATTTTTATGGAACCATTATTGACATGACTTCAAATACAAATAGTGAAAAAGTAGATTGTTGTCAAGGAGAGAGAGTTTTCAGATATTGGTGGCAGCATCCCAGTTTTGGGAAAATTATAGAAAGATGAAGAAACTTAAGACTGCTGTTTTAGCTGTCCAGTTATATTTATCTACTAGGACTACACCCTTATATGGGGCCAGCAGCAAATAAAAAGACACACTATAAAATCAGTAAGGCACTACTGAAAAGTCAGGATGTTGGAAAAGGAAATGCTGAAAGAGACTAAGGACAATGCCAGGAATACCAGCTACCTCCTCTCGGGATCTTCTCCACCTCAGGAGTGAGCTAGGAAACCAGGGGCAAATGGCACAAATTACTAATCAAGTTTGACATAATGAGAGGATCTAAGAAGTGGGGATGGAATAAATTTATGTCTTTCTTGTCCTCATCTTAATATTTTCCCATTCTTTCTTGTGGATGCTAGAGCTATGAATTCTTCTGACCTTTCGACTGACCTTTCTGCTTTATACCAACCCTGATAAATTCCAAGGTATGAGTGTTCCTGAATTACCTTCTACCTGTTCCTTCTCTGAGATCCTCATGTAAATAATGTTGGTGTGCTCATGGGCATTGAGTCTACCCAGTTTTCCAGCTATGACCCATTTTTTTCATAGGTGAGGAATGAGACTTTGGAAGCATATAGTTTTGTGTGACACATCCTGAGAATGTTTCTCCATAAACCTTTGTGCTAGACATTCTGGTGGTGGGAAATCGGGGATGGTTAGACTTGTTAACAACACCTTGATGGAGAGTTGGATTGATTGATACATTAAGTGTATTTATGTAATTTTTCATTAACTTATCTATTCATTTGTTGAAGCCTATGTTGAATCATGAAGGAATTGCATCCTTGAAGTACAATTCTAGAAGTGACAGAGTAGGGTTTTTTTTGTGTTTTTTTTAAACATCAATCCTACTCCTCTCTAGTTTAAAAACTCCCCCCCAAAAGATCTCCATTTAGCTTGTCAAATCTGTTTCAAATAACTTCAAGCTGGTATCAAGCACCTAGATGCACAGAAACTCCCTTCTACCTTTGTGTCCTAATTTGAGAACCAGCTGTAGTGGGCTTATTTATGTGCAAGTGTATGGAGCTATGTTGAGTGTCTTAGTTGGGTCAATGATTAGAACTCATATGAGATTGATGAGAGATGATGACCCCAAAACCAATCTCATCTGACGCTCAATGTAGGTGACCTTCTTGGGGCAGGATATTTGTATTCTTTACTTCCCTTCTAGGGCAATGGGTTTGAAGTTTGAGTCACTCAACTGCTTCAGGGAATTCCTTGTGTCTCTACCCTGTGGATAGGATTCCCAGTGTCCAAATCATGCTTATGATTTAAGTTTGTCTTCTTAATCCATATTTCCTCACAGGATACCATAATTGGGGCAATTCCTTATCTCCCATTCTCTCATTGTATTTTTCAGCAAGATGTTCTTGCCAGGGTTTTGCTGTGACAATAATCATCTGAGGTGAGTGGATGACTATGTCATAAATTACAGAAAAAACATTGTCATCAGAAGCAGACCAGTCTTTAGGCACTAAGTTTGTTTTATACTTTTCAACAACCTAAATACCTCTATGGGGTTGATCTTTTGTGAGTGTCAACCCTGAGGATTAAGACTACAGATTATGGAAGTTTGCCTTTATACTTGAAGTGGATCAGACTGTTTCCGCATTCCCTGTGCAACAATCATGTTTCACTGTAGATAGGTTGAGATCAATGCTTACTAAATTTTAATCATTGGTTCTGCTTTGTTGTTTCCAAATCTATTTCTTAAGGGAAATTTCATGCTCAGGGTATCCAGAGATGAGGTGCAGGATAATTTGTCCCAAATGTCTTAGGGACATACGGTTGAGTATTCAGATACCTGAATGGTGGCCCCTGGGGATTGATGGGACTTCAGTAGGTCAATTTAATAAATCATGGGTTCTTGATGATTCCAGTTGTTCTTGACTTGATTTTGATCTGTGTAGTTTCTCCAAATTGGGACATTCGCATCTTATTTGCAGTTGTTCTTTTTGGGAGAGACAGTTTTAAATAGGACATCCTCAGTATGACAGACAACTGTTGAATGATGTTTCCAGAAATGATTCAAGAAGCCTCAAAGACATGCTTTTATCTCCATCATGAAATCATGGTTATCTAAAGTTTAGAAATGAACAGGTATATTCATATTATGTAATATTTTCATTGCTATTGGGAATTTTTAACAAAATACGATTGGGGATTCTGAAAAATAGATGGTTTGGAGCACAGGCCTGAAATTTCCCATGCAAGGGTTTTCTTATGTGACTGTACATGGGCATAATTTCAGGTTTCTAGATAATTTTTTATGGAACTTCATAGTGTCACTTTTGGTGCATACACCTGCAGTAATCCCGGTCCAATGTTTCAATGACAACTGTTGTTTGTATAGATAAGGAATGAGATTTAGGAAGCATTCCCATTCTCGATGACAGTGTTGAGAATTTTCTTATTCCAGCAGCCTGTGAGCTAGACTTTCAAGTGGGTGTGAAATCAAGGATGGTCAGCATCTTTAATGGCGTCCAGATGATTTCATTGATTGATATGTTAAATGTAGTTATGTATTTATTAATGCATTATACATTCATTTAGTTACTTACTTATTTAAATTCTCAATCAACACATGAATGAGTTCAATGCTTATGCCAAAAATTTAAGAGTGATTGACTTATTTGTCTTGACAGCTGTCTTCTTTCTTTCTACCTAGACATTGTTCCCCTGAAGATCCTCATTTTTCTGCTGAACTTGGTGCAATTTTCAGTCAGATGTCAAGCACCTGAAATATCAATCATATCTACGTTGGTACTCTAATTTCCAAAACCAAATGCGGTAAGCATATTTAGCTTGAGTGTTTAGATAAATGCAGTGTTTTTTATTGGGTCAATGATGAGAAACCATAACTTGAAGAGAGATGATGACTAAAAAATCAAACTCTTGCAGGATTTATCTGAGGCCCAATCTAGGTGATGATCTGTTAGTGGGATGTTGGGGATCTTTATTTCTCTTTGGATCAATGAAGTTTGGGGTGTGAGGCAACCAATCTCTTGAAGGAATCTCTTGTGTCTCTACCCTGTCTGTGAACTTCCTCATGCCCAAGATATGCTTATAGTTTAGACTTGTTTTCCCCATTCAAATGTCCTCATCAGAGACCATGATCTTAGCTCTTTTACTCTTATTGTGTCTTTCAGTGAACCATCCTGGTGAGGGTTTTGCTATGACCATAATCATCTGAGGTGAGTAAATATTTATTATCATAGGAGAAGCCACAGAGAGAGTCAGTGTTGGAGGCAGGTTAATCTTAATACAACAAGTATGCTTTATAGCTTTCAGGAGTCTCAATACCCACATGGGGTTTATGCCTCCATGTCAGCCTTGTCCATAGACAGTGGAATTTTCTCCTTATACATGAAGTAAGTCAGACTCTAAAAGGCATAAATTTTTACTTTGGTTGATTCAACTCTTTTTAAAGCACTTATAAATGGAGTTATTTTCTCAATTTCTTTTGCTTCTTGTTCATTGTTTGCATGCTAAAAAGGCTTTGATTTTATTAGTATGGTGATTTGGGAGCCTGCCACTTTGCTGTATTCATTTATAGTTTCTAATAACTTTTTGATGGAGTTTTTAGGACCCATCAAATTATTATTATTGTTGTTATTATTATTATTATATAATATCTTACTATATAAGATATTGGGTTCCCTTTATTTCCTGTGTTTGTCTGATAACTCTGGCCAAAATCCCTACCCCTAAGTTAAATACAAGTGTGGCAATTGGCATCCTTGCCTTGTGTCACTTCTTTTGGGGAAAGCTTTTGGTTTTTCACCTGGTTGAATATATGGTTGGTAGATTATGTTGATCTAGAGATTTATCCACTTCTTCAAGGTTATCAGATTTATTGGCATATATTTGTTCATAGTAATCTATTATAATTTTTTGTATTTATGTCCTATATATAGTGATTTTTCCTCTTTTGTTTGTGATTCTGTTATTAATGTTTTGTCTTTCTTGCTGTTGTTAGCCTAGCTAGGAGTTTATCTATTTAGATTATCATCTCAAAGAGTCAGCTGTTGGTTTTACTGATTTCTCGTATATTCTTTTTGATCTCTAATTTATTTCTGTTCTTATTTTTACTATTTTCATTCTTCTACTACACTTGGGTCTTATTTGTTCTTTTTCAAGTTGCTTTAGGTGTGATATTAATTATTTACTTGGGATTTTCTTACTTTACTATGGGCCTTTATTGCAATTATTTTTCCCCTTAAGACCACATTTGCTGCTTAGATTCTGATAACTTGTATCATCATTTTTATTTGTCTTAAGGTATTCTTTAATTTCTGCTTTTGATTTCCTGTTATCAAATTGCTATTAAGCAGCATGTTGTTTAACCTCCATGTATTTATAGTTTTTCCTATTTTTTCCTTGCAGTTGATTTTTCCATTTCAATAACTTTATGCTTGTAAAGTGATCTGCTGATAGCTTATCAGTGTCTCCCTCATGATTAGTTGATATGATAAATATATTTCTAATCTCTACCTCATTGTATGATTATACAATGATTCATTTAATTAGATATTTAACAAATTATTGATTTATTTTAAAAAATCTGTTAATGCATGGAAGACTTTTATGCTTGAGGCATAATTCTCAGTGTGAAAAGCAGGGTTTTTTTTTTCACAGTCTCTTCCTAGATACTGTTGGCCTGAAGATCTCAATTTGCCTACTGACCCTCAAACAAACTGAGATAGTCAAGTGGCAAATACCTAGAAGAAATTTATACCATCCTGGTATCCTCATTTTTAGAATTTGGCTTCTTTAAGGTAAGCTTATTTAAGGGCAAGAGTATTAAGATGTGCAGAATGCTGTTGTTGGGTCAATGATGAGAAAACAATGGACTTGAAGAGAGATCATGACAACAAATGAAACATGCATGACTCATCTGAAGACCAACCTAGCTGATGATCCTGGGCAGTTTGTTTGGGGTATTTTTTTTATTGTTGTTGTTTGCCTCCTTAACTAGTTGGATTTGATGTCAGAGGCAACCATTGTTTGAGCACATCTTTTATGACTCTAGCCTGACTATGGGCAGCCCCAATTTCAAACTATACTCAGGATTTAGGCTTGTCTTACTAATCTGTATGTCCTCAAACAGGCCACATTGGAGCCATAACTTACCTCTTTTACCCTCTTGTGTGTCTGTCTGTCTTTCAGCGAAATATTCTTTAGAAGACTTTTCTGTGGCCCCAGTCATCCCAGGTGAGTGAATATCTATCATTGTAGACATCACACACAACAATGAGCTCAAGGGGGGAGTCTAGCCTTAGGACTTAGCACTTAATACCAATTGGTATCCAAAGCACCCACATGGGTTTGATTTCTACAAGAGCGTCTGTCCTAAGAGCAAGGAGCTATGCATAGTGAAAGTATATACTTAATGCTAAAGCAGATTGTAAAAGTAGGTAATTTCTGCTAGTCTGGGCCCCTGTGAACACTGAGGTCTGTTGATAGACAAATTGAAGTCATTGATTCCGTTATGCTTGAGGAATGAGAACTGCTAGGATGTGCTTTGGTGTCTCAGAATCGATTTTGTTAGGAAAACAAAATCGTGTCCATGGTGCGCAGAGGGTGAGACACAGGAACGGATCTATTCCATAGGTCTGTCTTGTAAAGTCTGTTGAGTGTTCATTCAACCAGTCAAAGCCCACCACAGGGATTGGTAAGGCTTTGCCATATTAGTTCATGAATCAAGGATTATCTGTGTAGTTACCCCAAATTGTCCCACCTGTATGCCAGTGACAGTTCTTCTCTCAAGGACAAGATTGCCCTAACAATAAATTCTGGCAGGAAAGGACTCTTCTGAATGAAATTCATATAAATGTTGAGAATCATTGGATTCATAATTTACCTCCATAATGAGCTCATGTTTGCACAAAATAAAGGTTGCTATATGCCTATGATAGAATATTTGCCTTGCTAAGGGGAGAAATTGGTGGTGTGTGGCCAAGCACTCTGAGCAAAAATAAAATGGCCTAAAATTTCTTATGAAATATTTGCCTGCCAAGTGGGAAGAGACAACAATTTTCAGGTTTTCAGAATCTTTTTGTCTAGGGAGTCAAATCTGTGGGACATTATAGTCACATTTTCAGTGGGTAAAAGTGATGAAGAGGAGCAGCATGGAAATGTCAATTTCATGAGCTGTGGATTTGTATAAAACCAGTTGTTCCTAAATAGCTAAATTTGTGAGGTTACCCCAATATTCCTGCTGCATCCCAATGACAATTCTTCCAGTCAAGGAGAGACCATCTTAAACAATGACAGCCTAGCAGTAAAAACCTCCTGAATGAAATTTCCTAGTAACAATGTTGAGAACCTCAGAGCTGCAGTTCATCTACATTATGAGATGGTGTGCTCACGAATTTCTCAGGGCTTATTCAGGTGTTCTTAGTCCATATGTTTGCAAAAGAGGTCCAAACTGTGGCCATTCCTTAACTCTGTTTCACTCCTTGACATTGTATTAAATATATATGAATATGAATTTTATTCACTTACATGTTTCTGTACTCATTTATGTGTCAGTTTGTCAATTTATTTTTAATTTATTCATTAATTATTTTATTCCTAAAATACACTGTTTTTTAACTGTTTCTGGAAAAGTGAGGGAGTTGCATGATTAAGTTACAACTCCATAGGAGGTTGAAATTTTTCAAAATGGCTGTCCTTCTGCACTCTGCCTAGACACACTATGAAGTAACCATATTCATGCTGACCTTGATGCAAACGTTGCTAGACAAACTTCCAGCCTGGGAGATGCTGAAACTTATGTCCACCTGATGTTCCAGTCTGAAGAATCCAATCGTGGTAAGCATATTTCAGTGCAAGATTATGGCTACCTGCAGATTGCTATACTTGGGTCAATGATGAGAACTCTAATGTCTTAAGAGAGATGGTGACAAAAATCTGTCATGGGTGGTGTCATCTGAGGCCCAATAGATTATTCTCTTGGAGAAGAATGTTGAAGACCTATATTTTTGTGTTGAAAGAAATTTTCCTTGACACAACTGCTTGAAAGAATCCTAAATAATTCTTCCAGACTATGGGTTTCACCATACAAGAGAATTGTTCGTAGTTTAGCCTTGTGCTTTTAATCATATGTCGCATTAGAGACCTCAGTGGATGGATTCATTTGCTCTGTTTCTCTCCTTGTGTCTTTCAGTGAGATATTCTGTAGAGGTTTTCACCACGTCCGTAGTCATCTGAGGTGAGTGCATGTCTGTCCTCGTTCATTTGTCTCAAATCCCATGGCCTCTTGGGGAGACCTTTTTATTTTTGTAAATAAAAGTTACTTTGGTGAACATAATTTTTAAAAAAAGAGAAGGAAAATTCAAAGGTCAACTAAAGACACAAATATCTTAAACAAAACATTAGCAAAAAGTTTAGCAATAGACAATTCATTATAACAAAGTTGAATTTATTCTGCAAGTTCCATGCTAGTTCAAACCTCTATGGATGTTATTTATCATAGAGAAAAATATGATTTTATCTCAGAGGAAACAGAAAACACTGGAAGACTTCAATGTAGTTTATTTTTCAAAGTAATATTGTTCTGCTTTACTTATTTACTTATTTATTTTTAACTGGGGTAATATTGGGATACCCAAATCAGGTATTAACCACCAGAATGTACCCACCATAACTCTGGGTGAGGCTATTTTTTAAGCTAATGGTCATTTTCACAACTTTTGGGAGCTTCGGTATCACTTGTGATTTCTCATAAGTGACAGCTCTGTGGGATTAAAACTAAAACTAGTCAAACTTTATACCTTATGTGGAGATCATTTTATAAGAAGAGGTCATTTTTATTACTCTGGTCCTGCATCAGTATTCATATTTGTTGCTTGAAGTGTTATGGTCAGTATCTCCTACATACTTAAGATATGATAACTACTGGCTTCCACATTCATTTCTACAAAACAGCTCCCATAATGAGATTCATGCCCCTGATATCTAAAGGGTAGACTCAGAAATAAATTCATCCATGGGGTTAATGAGGACCCTCTTGAATTTTTAGACTCACTGTCACCCCGATGAACCTATGTTCCTCCTGATCTGGTGCAAATGTTGCTAGACAAACTTCCAGCCTTGAAGACAAGAAACTCAATTTCACCTGGTGGTCCAATCTACACAATCCAGCTGTGGTAAGCATAATTAGGTGCAAGATTATTGGTATGTGCAGAGTGCTTTATTGGGTCAATGATGAGAACACTAATGTCTTAAGAGAGATGGTGACAAAAATGTGTCATGGGTGGTGTCATCTGAGGCCCAATAGGTTATTCATTTGGAGAAGAAGGTTGGATAACTTTACATTTTTTTTTGTTGAACGTGATTTTGTTTGAACAAACAATTGCTTGAAGGTATCCCACCCGAGTGGCTCTTCCTGTGGATGGGTTTCACCATAGGAAAGATGTGCTTATAGTTTAAGCCTGTGTTTTTTAATTGTATGTCACCATTAGTGGCTTCAGTGGATGGATTCATTTGCTGTTTCTCTCCTTGTGTCTTTCAGTGAGATGTTCCTTGGAGGTTTTCACCACGTCCTTAGTCATCTGAGGTGAGTGCATGTTTGTCCTCTTACACATGCCTCATAACACATGTACTTTGGAGGAAACAATTTTTTTCTTACATAAACACAAGTTACTTTAATGAACATAATTCTTTAAAAAGAGAAAAGAAATTCGTATTTCAATCTAAAGATGCAAATATCCTGAACAAAACATGAGCAAAGTGTTTAACAATAGACAAAGAATTTATTATAACAAAGTTGAATTTGTTCTGGGAATGCCATGTTAGTTCAACAGCTACAGATGTTATTTACCACAGGAAAAACTATGTTTTTATATCAAAGGAAACACAAAAATTTAGAAGAATTCAATATAGTTTATTTCCCAATGAAATATTATTTTGCTGTATTTATTTATTAACTGAGATAATATGGGTTACCCCCATCATGTATTACTACCATAGCCTACTCACCTAGTATGGGTGAGATTTTTTTATTGAGAATTATTTATTTATTTATTTATGTATACAAGATCTGGGGTATAGGCCAGAGGCGTGGCGTGGGGGAGGGCAGTTTGAGAAGATTCACCAGAGACAGTGTGGGGAGCAGCACAGGCCACAGGGAGATCTACTGAAATACACTGCTGAGGAGAGCAGCGGGCATAACAGGAGAGTTCTGCTGCACCACGTGGGTTAGCTCCCTGGCCAGAGATCGAACCCATGTCACAGTGGCTGGCAAAAGCTTGATAGTGCTGAGACTTTAATCCCTGTGCTATCAGGGAGACACTGGGTGAGATTGTTTTTAAGGCTAAGTTGTATCTAGAACTATGGGAGCTTAGGGAACACAAGGGAGTCATCTATGTGGGACTGAAACTATGAGTAGCAAACCTTTGTCATTATACCTCATATGGAGGTCGTACTTTAGGAAGAGGTCATTGTTACTCCTCTGGTCCTACATCAACATTCATAATTGACTATAAAAGTGTTATGGCAGGGCCTCCCTGGTGGCACAGCGGGCTGAGCGCCATGCTGTGAAGCTGTCTGCAGCCTCTGCAGGGCAGTTTGATTCCTGGCTGGCCAGGGAGAATCCCACATGGCATGGCAGACCTTTTCTGTACCACCCACTGCTCCCCTCAGCAGTGTCTTCCTGTTCTGTTCCCTGCTCTGTCTCTGATGAATTCTCTCACCTTCCTACCTCTGACCTGTACCCCAGTTCTTGCATAAAAAATAAATAATCTTAAAAAAAGTGTTATGGGCAGTAACTCCAACATACTTAAGAAACGAAAACTATTGGTTTCCTCATTGGTGTTTGCAAAACAATTCCCATAGTGAGATCCATGCCCCTAATATCTACAGGATAAACTGAGAAATTAATCCCTCCATGGAGTTAATGGAGGACTCTCTTGAATTTTTAACTCTCAGAATGACAGGGTCTTTTGATGGGTTGGGCTGTGCAACATGGCAACTTCATGACTCCTTTGCTCTTGGTTATGTTATTTATTGGTGACTGACCTTTGATCTAGTATGTCGCCAAGCAGGTGAGTAGCCATCCAATTTCAGTAATATACAACAGGACATATGTCATTTAATGATTGCATACTCCTCAGGAAGGAATGCATTTAAAGAACTATATAGAGTTGATGCTGAGAAGCCTCTGGGACGAGATATCATGATACCACATTTGCCCAAAAATAGGAGTGAGAACTTACATCCTGATGGTGGATATTTGCATTGCTGATTAAGATGTGTTGGGATTTGAGGAGGGACACTAAAAAGATAGATAACTTTGGGAGACATGATATTATTTCCATGCAAGGTTTTGCCTACATGACTGTTAGTGAGCACAATTTGATGTTTCCTGATCCTAGTTTTGGAAAGAATGAATGTCATGGATATTTTGGTGTATTTATGCTCATTAGACTTCAACTAGTATTTCAGATGACCTATATCATGTCTAGTGAAGAAATAAGACTTTGCTATCATGGCATTTTCATTGCCTGACACAATATGAGAGGAGAGGCTTCTGACTGTTGAGGCTTCTGCTAGACCTCCCTGTAGGAGGAAAATCAAGAGAAGTTGGCCTTTCTAATGGATCCTTGATGATTTACTGATATGTACAATGTTTGATGTATTTCATCAGCATTTTATATGTTGATGTTTTTGCATTGAACTTACTACTAAATTACTACTTAGATACTTAATGATGTAATGAATACTCCATTGAATCCTGAAGGAGTCATCTGAGTCATAGTAATCAGGTGATGTGTAATTTTTCTTGAAAACTATATTCCTCATCTCTACAAAGGATGTTGCCCTTAAAATAGCCTTTTTCTCCTGCTGATCCTGGTATAAAGTGGCTGAAAAATGTCCAGTCAGTGGACAACAGAGAAATTCATATCCTCTTTGATACTTCATTTCCAGAATATAGCTGTGGTCAGGAAAATAAAGACAGGATCGAGGTGCTCAGAGTGCCTTAGTTTAGCCAATGATGGGAAAATATGGCTGAGGAGATGATGGCCAAACATTGAACTCTTGCAGGACTTATCTGAGACCCAATCTGGGTGATAATTCTTTATCTTCTCTTTGTATTCCTATTTTCCTCCAAACAAGAATGATTAGGGTTGGAGGTAAACAATTCCTTGAGCATATTTTGTGTGACTCCCTCCATAATATGAGGTCTAATCCCCATGAAACAAATCATGATTATATATATATATAATATATATATATATCTAATACAAATCATGATTATATTTGTTGTCCTATTATGTATGTTTTCAAAGCATCATAAAATGGAAGCATTCCTTATCTTTTACCATTCTGCATGTCTTCCTGTCGTTCAGTGAGATGTTCTTTAAAAGGTTTTTATGTGGCCACAATCATCCCAGGTGAGTGTATGTCTGTAATCTAAAACAGACATTATAGACACAGTTGGTCTCATGGAGAAGCCACCCTTAGTTCAATAGGTACATTCCAGATCACTTGTTCAATAGGTACATTCCAGATCAGTTGTAGTCAATAACTCTCTAAGTTTGGAGAAGAGAATTGCTGGGAAACTTCTTGACATCTCAGAATAACTCTCACTGGGAAGGTTCATGTCCATAGTGTGCAGAGTGTGAGAAAGGAGCACATGTTCCGTGAATGTCTCCTTGAACAATACCATCTATATTCATTGAAATACCTGAAGGCCACGCCTGGGGGTTGTTAAGGCTTCACCATTGCAATACATGACCTCTGGGCTCCTGGTGATGCCTGTTGATCCTAAGTAGCTTAAACTGTTTAGTTGCCCCCTAAAAATCCACTTACATCTCACTGAAAATTCTTCCCCTCAAGGAGAGACTGCCTTAACCATGCCATCTTCACATGAAATGACCCTCCTAGTGAACTTTGCAGTAGTAATGTTGAGAAACTTGGAGCCATAGTTTGTCTGTAGAATGAGATAATTTGATCAAAATTGAATCATGACTTAGTCAAAATTTCTTTGTCTATAGTTCTCATATGAAGTCACAGGTGTGTTAACCTTAACTCTGTTTATCCTACTGATGTTTCATTAAATGTATATATGTATCTTCATTTTTATATGTGAATATGTTCATTTATTCTTTTGTTCATTTGTTTCTTATTTCACTGTTAGTTCATTCATGCATTTAATATGAAACATTTTTCAAATGGGTATGGAAGTATGAAACAACTGCCTGTTTAAGTCACAGTTCCTAAACAGATTGAGTATATTCTTGACAGCTGTCATCTGTTCTGTTTAGAGTCACTGTCACCCTGATGTACCTATGCTCCTCCTGATCTGGTGCAAATGTTGCTAGACAAACTTCTAGCCTGGAAGACGAGAAATTCATTTTCGCCTGATGTTCCAATCTGCAGAATCATCTGTGGTAAGCATAATTAGGTGTAAGATTATGGGTATGTGCAGAATGATTTACTTGGGTCAATGATGAGAACACTAATGTCTTAAGAGAGATGGTGACAAAAATGTGTCATGGGTGGTGTCATCTGAGGCCCAATAGTTTACTCACTTGGAGAAGAATGTTGGAGATGTGTACTTTTTTCTGTTGAAAGGGGATTTTGTTTGAATGAACAATTGCCTGCAGGAATCATGAGTGGCTCTTCCTGTGGATGGGTTTCACCATAGGAAAGATGTGCTCATAGTTTAACCCTGTGTTTTTAATTGCATGTCACCATCAGTGGCCTTAGTGGATGGATTCATTTGTGGTTTCTCTTCTTGTGTCTTTCAGTGAGATGTTCTGTGGAGGTTTTCACCACATCATTAGTTATCTGAGGTGAGTACATGTCTGTCCTTTTACACACGTCTCATAGCACATGGACCTTGGGGGAAACAACTTTTTTTTCTTATATAAACAAAAGTTACTTTAATGAACATAATTTTTTAAAAGGAGTAAGGAAATTTGTATGTCAATCTAAGGATGCAAATATCCTGAACAAAATATGATCAAAGTGTTTAACAATAGACAAAGAATTTATTATAATGAAGTTGAATTTTTTTCTAGGAAAGTCACCTTAATTCAACTTCTATAGATATTATTCACCACAGGAAAAACTATGTTTTTATCTCAAAAGAAATACAAAAAATTTAGAAGAATTCAATACAGTTTATTTTCCAGTGGAATATTGTTTTGCTTTATTTATTTATTTAATGAGGTAATATGGAGTACCCCCATTAAATATTACTACCACGGTCTACTCACCTAGTATGGGTGAAATTTTTTTAAATTAATTTATTTGTTTATTTATGCATATAGAACTGGGGTATTGGCCAGAGTTGCAAGGGTGGGAGGGTAAGAGGATTCACCAGAGACAGAGTGGGGAGCAGAACAGACAGATCTACTGAAATACACCGCAGATGGGAGCAGCAGGGGAGGTCTACTGCACCATGTGGGTTAGCTCCCTGGCCAGGGATCAATCCCATGCAGCGGTGGCTGGCAATAGCATGATAGCGCTGAGATTTTAGCCCCTGCATCACCAGGGAGGCCCTGGGTGAGATTATTTTTAAGGTTAAGTTGTTTCTAGAACAATGGAACCTAAGTAACGAGGGAGTCATCTATGTGGGATTGAAACTATGAGTAGCAAACCTTTGTCATTATACTTCATGTGGAGGTCATATTATAGGAAGAGTTCATTGTTACTCCTCTGGTCCTGCATCAACATTCATAATTGACTATAAAAGAGTTATGGTCAGTAACTTCAACATATTTAAGAAATGGTAACTAATGGTTTCCTCATTGGTGTCTGTGAAACAATTCCCATAGTGAGATTCACGCCCCTAATATCTAGAGGATAGACTGAGAAATTAATCCCTCCATGGGGTTAATGGAGGACCCTCTTGAATTTTTAACTCTCAGAATGGCAGGGTGATTTGAGGGTTGGGCTGCAACATGACAATTTCATGACTCCTTTGCTCTTGGTTATGTTAATTATTTGTGACTGACCTTTGATCTTGTATGTTACCAAGCAGGTGCATAGTCATCCAATTTTAGTAATTACAAAAGGACACATATCCTTTGATGATTGCATACTCCTCAGGAAAGAATATATTTGAATAACTACTTAGAATTGGTGCTAAGAAGTCTCTGGAACAAGAAATAGGTTATCACATTTGCCCAAAATATAGGAGTGAGAACTTATATTCTAATTTTGGATATTAACATTGCTGATTGGGAGGTGTTGGAATTTGTGAGGGACACTAAAAAAGATAGGTAACTGTGGGAGACATGATGTTATTGCCCATGCAAGGTTTTGTCTACATGATGATAAGTGAGCACAATTTGCCATTTCCTGATACCAGATTTATAAAGAATGAATGCCATGGATGTTTTGGTGTACTTATGCTCATTAGACCTCAACTAGTATTTCAAATTCTACCCATTATATGTCTAGACAAGAAATGAGACTTCAGAATCGCTGGCAACATCTTCTTCTGACATAATATGAGAGGAGAGGTTTCTGACTGTAGAGGCCTTCTGTTAGAACCTCCACTAAGAGGGAAATGAAGAGAGGTTGGCCTTCCTAAGGGATCCTTGATGATTTACTGATATGTACAATGTATGTTGTATTTCATCAGAATTTATATGTTCATGTTTTTGCACTGAACTTACTACTAAATCACTACTTACTTAGTGATGTAATGAATACTCCATTGAATCCTGAAAGTTGCCTGAGTCATAGCACTCAACTGATGGATAATTTTTCTTGACAACCATCTTCCTCATCTGTACAAAGGATGTTACCTTAGGATCGCCTTTTTCTTCTGCTGATCCTGGTATAAAATGGCAGAAAAATGTCCAGTATATGGACGAAAGAGAAATCCACAACCTCTTGGATACTTCATTTCTAGAATACAACTGTGTCAAAAAATAAAGACAGGATATTGATATGTTCAGAGTGTCTTATGGGCCAATGATGGGAAAATATGGCTGAGAAGGCCCAATCTAGGTGATAATTCTTTATTTTATGTTGCATCCCTATTTGTTTCCTTAACAAGAGTGATTAGGATTGGAGGTGAACAATTCCATGAGCACATCTTGTGTGGCTCCCTCCATACTAAGGGGTGTCATTCCCATGGTATACTCAGGATTAGATTTGTTGTCTTATTATGTATGTTTTCAAAGCATTATTAAACAAGAGTGTTCCTTACCTTTTACCATTCTGTGGTAAAAGGAGCCTCCTAGTGAACTTTGCTAGTAGTGATGTTGAGAAACCTGGAGCCATAGTTCATCTGTGGAGTGAGATCATTTGATCAAAATTAAATCATGACTTAGTCAAAGTTTCTTTGTCTGTGGTTCTCATGTGAGGCCATGGGTGTGATAATTCCTTAACTCTGTTTATCCTATTGATATTTTGTTAAATGTATACATGTATCTTCATTCACTTATATATGAATATGTTCATTTATGCTTTTGTTCATTTGTTTCTTGTTTCACTGTGTTACTTCATTCATTTATTTAAAGATATTTATTTTCAAATGAGTATGGCAGTACGAAGCAACTCCCTGCTTAAGTTACAGTTCCTAAAGAAATTGAGTTTTTCTTGACAGCTGTCATCTATCCTGTTTAGAGTCACTGTCACCCCGATGTACCTGTGTTCCTCCTGATGTGGTGCAAACGTTGCTAGACAAATTTCCAGTCTGGAAGATGAGAAATTCATTTTCGCCTGATGTTCCAATCTGCAGAATCATCTGTGGTAAGCATAATTAGGTGTAAGATTATGGGTATGTGCAGAGTGCTTTCCTTGGGTCAATGATGAGAACACTAATGTCTTAAGAGAGATGGTGACAAAAATGTGTCATGGGTGGTGTCATCTGAGGCCCAATAGGTTACTCACTTGGAGAAGAATGTTGGAGATGTGTACTTTTTTCTATTAAAAGGGGATTTTGTTTGAATGAACAATTGCCTGCAGGAATCATGAGTGGCTCTTCCGGTGGATGGGTTTCACCATAGGCTCATAGTTTAAGCCTGTGTTTTTAATTGTATGTCACCATTAGTGGCCTCAGTGGATGGATTCATTTGTGGTTTCTCTCCTTGTGTCTTTCAGTGAGATGTTCTGTGGAGGTTTTCACCACGTCCTTAGTCATCTGAGGTGAGTGCATGTCTGTCTTTTTACAAATGTCTCAGAGCACATGGCCTCTGGAGGAGACCATTACTTTTTTTTTGTAATGCAGTTTACTTAATTGAACAGAATTTTTAAAAAGAAATGTATTTCTTTTTTTTTTTATTAAATAATAAATTTTATTTTTATATTCCCCCATACAACTGCACATGCCCCATTCTGACCCCAATCCCTCCCTCCCAGCCCCCACCCCCCAAAAAGTGTCTCTGGTTCATAGTTTTTTGTTGATTTTGATTTTCACTTTCTTATAGTTATTCTTTTTCCTGATCCCTTATTTAAGTTTTCTAGATTCCTGCTATGAGTGAGACCATCCGGTATTTTTCTTTTTCTTTTTGGCTTATTTCGCTGAGCATGATCCCTTCCAGCGCCATCCATGTTGCTGCAAATTGCATGTGTTTATCTTTTTTGAATGCTGAGTAATATTCCATGGTATATATGTACCACATCTTCTTGATCCAGTCATCTATTTTTGGGCATTTGGGCTGTTTCCAAAGCTTAGCTATTGTAAATAGTGCTGCTATAAACATAGGGGTGCAGGTGTTCTTTGGAATTGATGTTTCTGTGTCCTTTGGGTAAATACCTAGGAGTGGAATTGCTGGATCATATGGAAGCTCTATGTTTAGTAGATCCAGAAATCTCCACACAGCTCTCCATAGTGGTTGGACCAGTTTGCATTCCCACCAACAGTGCAGGAGAGTTCCTTTAAAGAGAAATGTATTTCACATGTCAATCTAAACATGAAAATATCCTGATGACAACATGAGCAGTATGTTCAACAACAGACAGGAATTCATTATAACAAACCTGAATTTGTTCTTTTTTTTTCAAGATTTATTTATTTATGATTTCAAGAACTGGGGTACTAGCCAGAGGTGTGGGGGCAAAGGATTCACAAGAGACAAAGTGGGGAAGAGAACAGGTGGATCGACTGAAATACATCACTGAGGGGAGCAGCGGGTGAGTCAGGAGAGGTCTGCTGTGCCATGTGGCCGCTCTCTGGCTGGGGATTGAGCTTGTGCTGCAGTGGCTGTGGATAGCTTCATAGGTTGTGTCTTCACACTTGATCTTAGCCAAAAGGCCAAGAAGTGATGCATAGGTTTTCTCTTAACCCCTTGCGCCACCAGGGAGGCATAAATTTTTCTAAGAATGCCATGCTAATTCAAACATCTACTTATGTTATTTACTGCAAAAAAAAAAAAAACACCTATGTTTTAATCTCAGAGGAAAAAGAAAAATTTAGAATTCAATATTGTTTATTTCCAATGTCTATTATTCCATTTTGTCTTTTATTAATTTTTTTTTCAACTGAGGTATTATTTGTTACCCTCATCAGGTATTACTACCATAGTGTACTCACTACTACGTATGGGCAAGATTATTTTGCACTAAGTGGTTTCTAGGGCTTGGTAGCCTCAGTTCCACTTGGGGTGATTTCTTATGCCAGTCACCTATCTGGGATTGAAACTATGAGCAGCTATCCCCATCATTATATATTTTGTGGAGATCATAGTGTAAGAAGAAGTCATTGTTATTGCTGTTGTCCTGCATGCAACATTCATATTTGACTCTAGATGTATTATGGGCAGTAACTCATACATACTTAGAACATGATAACTACTGGCTTCCACATTGGTATCTGCAAAACAATTCCCATATTGAGATTCATGCTCCTAATATCTAGATGATAGACTCAGAAATGAATCCATCCATGGGGTTAATGAGGACCCTTTGGAATTTTTAGCTCTCAGAGTGGCAGAATCATTGGATGGGTTGGGCTTCAAAATGCCAGTTAAATGACTCCTTTGCCCTTGGTTATGTTGGTTTTTTGATGACTGACCTTTGATCTAGTATCTCGCCAAGTGGGGTGGTAGCCATGCAATTTCAGTACTTTAAAACAGGATACAAGCCCCTAGAAGATTGCATAGTCATCAGGAAAGTCTACATTTGAAAGATCTACTTAGAATTATGCTGAGAAGTGTCTGGGACAAGATCATGATATCACATTTTCCCAAAGTATAGGAGTGAGAACTTACATTCTGTGGTGCATATTTGCATTGCTGATTGGTAGGTTTTGGAATTTGTGAGAGACATTAAATATAATAGGTAATTTTTTTTTTTTTTTTGCTATGTAGACATATTTACTTTCTTCTCACTTTACTGATATATTCAGATGAGTTAAAGAAATTGTTCAAAGTCATAAATTCACTAAGTGGCAAATTATGATAAAACCTCAGATTTGTTTTTTTTTTTTTTTTTTAAATATTAAATTTTATTTTTATATTCCCCCATACAATTGCAAACGCCCAATTCTGACCCCAATCCTTTCCCCCCCGCCCCACAAAAAGTGTCTCTGGTTCATAGTTTTTTGTTGACTTTGATTTTCACTTTCTTATATTCATTTTCCTGGTCCCTTATTTAAGTTTTCTAGATTCCTGCTATGAGTGAGACCATCCGGTATTTTTCTTTTTCTTTTTGGCTTATTTCACTGAGCATGATCCCTTCCAGTGCCATCCATGTTGCTGCAAATTGCATGTGTTTATCTTTTTTGAATGCTGAGTAATATTCCATGGTATATATGTACCACATCTTCTTGATCCAGTCATCTATTTTTGGGCATTTGGGTTGTTTCCAAAGCTTAGCTATTGTAAACAGTGCTGCTATAAACATAGGAGTGCAGGTGCTCTTTGGAATTGATGTTTCTGTGTCCTTTGGGTAAATACCTAGGAGTGGAATTGCTGGATCATATGGAAGCTCTATGTTTAGTAGGTCCAGAAATCTCCACACAGCTCTCCATAGTGGTTGGACCAGTTTGCATTCCCACCAACAGTGCACAAGAGTTCCTTTTTCTCCACATCCTCGACAACATTTGTTGTTGCTAGTTTTTTTAATATGTGCCATTCTCACTGGTGTGAGATGGTATCTCATGGTAGTTTTGATTTGCATTTCCCTGATGACAAGTGATGTTGAACATTTTTTCATATGTCTGTTGGCCATTTGCATTTCCTCTTCAGAGAAGTTTCTTTTTAGCTCTTCTGCCCATTTTTTGACTGGATTATTTTCTTTGTTGTTGCTGAGTCTCATCAGCTCTTTGCAGATTTTTGTGATCAGTCCTTTATCATTAGTGTTGGGTGCAAAAATGTTCTCCCAGTTGGTGGGGTTCTCTTTGTTTTTGTTATTGTCTCTTTTGCTGTGCAGAAGCTCTTTAATTTGATGTAGTCCCAGCTGTTTATCTTTCTCTTCACTATCACTGCTTTGGGTGATGTGTCTGTAAAGATGTCTTTGATGTGCAAATCCCGTAGTGTTTCGCCTATATTTCCTTCTATGTATTTTATGGTTTCAGGTCTTATGTCTAGTTCTTTAATCCATTTTGAGTTGATTTTTGTGTATGGTGTGAGGTAGTGGTCAAGCTTCATTCTTTTGCATGTAGCGACCCAGTTTTCCCAGCACCATTTATTGAACAAACTTTCTTTGCTCCAATGCATAGTCTTTGCTCCTTTGTCAAAGATTAGTTGACCATAAATCTGTGGGTTATTTCTGGATTTCTATTCGATTCCATTGGTCTGTATGTCTGTTCTTGTTCCAATACCATGCAGTTTTGATGATTATGGCTTTGTAGTATAGTTTGAAGTCTGGGAGTGTGATGCCTCCATTTCCTTCTTTTTTTTTCAGTAGAGCTTTGGCTATTCGGGGTTTTGGTGATTCCATATGAATTTCATCAATAATTGTTCTATTTCTTTGAAGAATGCCATTGAGATTTTGATTGGAATAGCATTGAATCTGTATATTGCTTTTGGTAGGATGGCCATTTTAATAATGTTTATTCTTCCAATCCATGAGCAGGGGATGTCTTTCCATTTCTTTGTGTCTTCTTCTATTCTTTTAACAGTGTTTTATAGTTTTCTTTGTATAGGTCCTTACCTCTTTTGTTAGATTTATTCCAAATATTTGATTTTTTTGTGTTTCTGATAATAAAAGGGGTGGTTTTTTGATTTCTTCTTCTTCAGATTTATTGTTTGTGTATAGGAAGGCTACTGACTTTTGCGTGTTGATTTTGTATCCTGCCACTTTACTGAATTGATTGATGAGTTGAATTAGTTTTTCTGTGGAGATTTTGGGTTCTCTATGTATATTATCATATCATCTGCAAATAGTGATAGTTTGACTTCTTCTTTTCCTATTTGGATTCCTTGGATGTCTTTCTCTTGTCTTATTGCTCTGGCTAGGACTTCCAGTATTATATTGAAAAGCAGTGGTGAGAGTGGACATCCTTGTCTTGTTCCCAGATCTTAATGGAATTGCTTTCAGCTTTTCACCATTGAGAATTGATACTGGCTGTTGGCTTGTCATAGATGGCCTTTATGATGTTGAGGTATGTCCTTGTATCCCAAGAATTTCAAGGGCCTTTATCATGAATGGGTGTTGCACTTTGTCGAAAGCTTTCTCAGCATCTATTGATATTCATATGGTTTTATATTTCTTTTTGTTGATGTGTTGGCAAATAGCGTGATTGATTTTCGGATGTTAAACCATCCTGGTGCCCCTGGCCCTGAATGAATCCAACTGGTCGTGGTGAATTATCTTATGGATACATTGTTGGATTCTGATAGCTAAAATTTTATTAGATTTTGCATCAGTGTTCATTAGGAGATTGGCCTATAGTTTTCCTTTTTTGTGTGTCCTTATTCGGTTTTGTATGTGTAATATTGGCTTCATAGAACGTGTTTGGTATTGTCCTTCCTTCTCAATTTTGGAAGAGTTTGTGAAGGATAGGCACTAATTCGTCTCTGACTGTTTGGTTAGAATTCATTTGTAAATCCATCAGGCCCTGGGCTTTTGTTTTTGGGGAGTTTTTAATTACCATTTCAATTTCGCTGCTTGTTAATGGTCTGTTTAGGTGTTTATTCTATTTCTTCTTATCTAGCTTGGGTGTGATTGTAGTTGTAGGAATTTGT